ATACATAGCCCTAAATACCAGAATGTAAAAAAAAAAAAAAAAAAACAAGTAAACTCATGGATACAAGGTGAAATTAAATTCATGAAGGTTCTAAGACAACAAAATAGGGAAAGGGTAGTCTCTTCAACAATCAGTAGGATGGAAAGTTAACCTACAGAAAAATTGCAAAGCATATATCACATTAGGAGCTCATACTCAAAATATATCAGAAAATTCCATGGCTCAAATGCAAAACAAACTAAAAAATAAAAGGTAAATAAATGAGCTGAGGAGTGTGCAAAGATGGTGATCAAAACCATCTGGAGCTTTGGTCTGGAGGGAGTAGTGGGTTCGAAGGGGAGCAGTCACCCCAGGTCCTGCTGCTCTGAGTCTCTGACCTGGGTCCGGTCAGTCCCAGGAGACCAGGTCAGCAGGGCTGTGAGAGCAAATGTGCAAAGAAAGCCAGCGGCCCCTTCACAGGCTCAAGAGTCTGTGGCCAGGCTGGTCTCCAGGGGCAGCTGGACATGGACTGGTCTCACGTGGAAGCACCTTCAGCACAGCATCCTTGGGAAGGGGTGTTGCTGAGACGAGCTTCAGGAGCCTAGCCCAGGCAGGGATGCCACAGCACGTGTGCTCTGACTCGTTAAACCCTGAGAGCACCCTTCATACAAGGAACAAACAGTGAGGACAAACACGAGGGGAAACCACAAGTCCTGAAAATGCAGAGGGAGAGGGTTCACGTCTCACCCACTACCTGACACTCACTGCCAGAACTTGGTCTCCAGTGTCAAGCGGCTGTGAGAATTTTGTGCCCACAAGGATGTGGCCATCATAGGAGAATTTAAACATGAAGCCAAAGTTCCTTGTACATAAAATCCTGCAGGTACTAACCAGAAGTCAAGCTTTCACATTTAGCAGTGAAAGGACAAGGAAAGAGTAGTCTTGTCGTAAAGGACATTTTTACATGGACAAGCAAAAAGAGATGTCTTTAAGCACAGCACAGTACAGCACACGATCACATGGGTCTATAAAATCATTAAAATATGAAAAGAACAAATCAACATTCTACACATATTTCTTCCTTCTACTTCCTCAGTTTATATTCATCTTCCTTCACCTCCAAAGAGTTAAGTGTAACCCAAGTGGTCCTGGAACCCTCTCCCTGTTAATCCCACTTGAGAGTTGTTCCCTACCTGTGTTCTCTTCTGCATCAGTGCTGCTAACAGCTTCCAGGAAGCAGTCTGCAGAAAGACAACCGTGAGCAATAATACAGTTATTATACAAGTTGACTCACCCACTTCTCCTTCTCCACTTGGCTCACACAGCATCTCCCTGGTCTTTCCTCCAGGTTCACAGACCTCCCCTTTGTTTGTGGAGTCAGAGCTCTTCAACAAGATGTTGATCCCAGTTGCAAAATTTCATATGAGAGAGAGATGCTGAGAGAAACACATTTTAACCTTACACTTCTATAAGCCCAATATAACTCTTACATTCAAGCTTACAAAGCTGAAATTGCAACACTTAGGGACACACTTGAAATATGGCTACTGTGATCAACAAATGTGTATTTTTTGTGGTTTTTAAAAATATGTTAATTATTGTTTGAAATATGTTAATTATAGATAGGGAGATCTGACTAGTGGCTACTACACTGGAAAGTTCAGCTCTCCTAGCTCCAATGAAAAGGAAAAGGCAACTAATTGCCTCTTCAGGTTTTTCTCTGTTGTAGACAATTTGATGCCCTGATGAGATCAGTCATATGTAGGTATACCTGGGGCACTTGAACCTAGGCCAGGCATTGGGAGTGTGCTTGTGAACATCCCAATAGCAAGGTGAACACTCAGCTTCAAAGAAAATTCCCAGTAGGGGGCTCACTTGTAGGAGTGGTGAAGGGCATGGCCCAGAGCTCCTGTACGACAAGTAACCAGAGAGTAGGTTCAGAGGGGAGGGAAGGGATGTTCACTGTCTTCACGAGCCCATCATTCCCATCCCTGTCTCTAGAGGACCCAAGCAAGGCACCACAAAAGCCTCCCAGGAAGTGAAAATTTTGTGCACTGAACACCATAGAATACTTTTGAAAGAAAGAAGAGACAAGTAATTGGAATGACACACCATACTCATAAACTGGAATATTTAGTGTTGTTGACCTTCCTATACTCCTAAAAGTGATGAACATATATGTTGAAACCACTGACAAGGTCTCATGACATTTTGGAAATAAAAAATCACAATGGAAATAAAAAATCCTCAAATACTAAAACTTATGCAACTGAAGAGAAACCCAAAGAGCAGAAACAGTCCTGAGAGCAAATAATGACAATGGGGCTTCCTGAATTCAAAACAGGTAAGAATGCCACAACAGTCAAAACTGTCTTCTACCTGCAATAAAACAGGCAGAGAGACCAATAAATCACAAGGATGGAATCTTGAATAAATTCACACATATGAGGCCAAATGATCTTTGCCAGGGTTCTAAAATGACCATGTAAAGAAAGGATGGTCTCCTCAACAATCAGCAGAAAGGTAAACTGATGAAATGAGAAGAAGTATCTGCAAACTTTGTATCTGCATAATGGGCCAATATTCAGAATATATAGCAACTACTACAGCTCAACTTCAAAACAACAACAGGCAAATAACCGACTTAAAAAAAATAAAAGATGTGTAAAAGGCTTCAATAGATATTTCTTCATAGAAGACAGAGAAGTGACCAATATTCATAGGCATAGTGCTCAACATCACTAAGTATCAGTGAAATAGAAACCAAGTCAAAAGGAGATATCACCTTTCAGGCTGTGTATTATAAAAAGAAAATAATGTTAAGAGAACGATCATAAGATCCAGGAATCACTCTTTTGAGTTTATGTCCAAAGAAGATAAAATGAGAATATCCAGGAGATATATACAATCATGTATCCATTGCTGTATTGTACACAAAATCCAAGAAAACTGCCCAGTGTCCACGGGCAGATAAATCAAAAAGAAAATGTGGTGTATACATACACTGCAAGGTGTTTCAGCATTTTAAAATGAAGGACATCTTGTCATTTGCAGCACCGTGAATGAAGCTCGAGGATATTGGTAAGAGTGAAATAAGGAGGTCAAAGGAGGACAAATACTGCACAATTCCATTTACCTGATGTATCTGAAGGAAAATTCAGAGAAGCAGAGAGTAGAAGGGTGGTTCCAAGAACTGGGAGGAGGTTGACAGAGGGAGTGTCTGTTCAATGGTTATAAAATTTTTGTTGCAGGATGGAAAAGTTCTAGAGACAAGCTGAAAAACACAGGGCATTGAATTAACAGGCCTGACTGGACACTTCAAAGCTTAAGAGGCAAAGCTGGACTGAACTTCATCTATGCTTTTAGGTTCCTTTTTTCTCAGATTCCTCTAGACCTAGGTGTGGCATGTGGGTACCACCAGGGGCTCCCTGCAGAAGGAAAGAGCCTCCCCAGTACTGGGGGCCTTGATTGAGGGGGTGAGATTCATTCTGAGGCTGTAATAGGAAAGAGTTTGAATGAGGGAAACGGCGGAGTGATGAATCATGACCAAACAAAATGCTACAAGACCTATTAAGAAATGGGATTTATGATTAAATGAAGGGGTGACGGACCCAGGAGGGAGATACTGAAACATGGTCTTGTTTTCTAAGAATCATACAGGGCTTCACTGGTGCATCAATGGGTAGGAATCCACATGCCAATGCAGGAGATACGAGCTCAATCCCTGGTCTGGAAAGAGTCCACATGCCTCGCAGAACCTAAACCTGCTGGTGCACCACAAGGACTGAACCGTGTTCTAGAGTCCAGGAGCCACAAGCACAGAGCCCAGCTTCTGAAACTACTGAAGCCCAAGAGCCCTAGAAGCCACACTCTGCAACAAAAGAAGCACTAAAGTGATACGCCTGCACACCACAACGCGAGAGATGCCCTCACTCTCCACAAGCAGAGGAAACCCTGCGCAGCAACGAAGACCCAGCAGAGCCAAGAAGAAAATTAAGAAAAGTTAAAAAGACTCCAGGGTGAACATTTTCCTGGGTAGGGACGGGATGTGTCTTTCAGGGTAATGGATGTTCACTTGGTATAAAATCAATGGATACAGTGAATGTGTATACTTGGCTTAATTTTATATATATATACACACACACACACACACACACACACACACACACATATATATACTCATTAATGGCTCATGGTGATGGGAAATTTTCGGGGGAAGTTGACACCAGTAACAGTGACATTTAGGGTGACAAATATTGAGGAAAACACAAGACAAAAACATTCACAGACACATGAAGAATCACACTGTTCATTACACACAGATATACACCCAATCCCATGGACAAAACCCCACACTATTAACCATAACACAGCTTCTTCCTGGGACTACAGTAATCAGCCACATTGCTCTACTTATAAATTACTTTCTATCATGAGGGCCCCTATACTCATTGCCCCCATGAATTTTGAATCAGTTTGGCCTCTACACTAAAACCAGAGAGAAAGCCCCAACTTTCTCATCTACAAATTTTTCTCCTAAAATGAATGATTCTAGAATACATACGACTTTCACATTCTGAAAGAGCTACCTGCAAGTACAGAAGAGAAGACACTATGAGGATAAGATCACATAGATGCACAGTCTTTGGTTCATTTGGTGACAGTTCCTGATGAGGAACAGTGGTGAAGTCCACGGAACCCATCACTATCAGAACACACATACTCAGGATGAAAGGCAAGACCTTTGCCTGGAGGATGGAACTTCCAAGTTCATTTGGATTGGAAATTGCAGAATTCTTTTCTTAGAGGAAATCTTGCTGCAGGAGAGAGAACTCTGTACTCTACAGGGTGTAATGGATGCTAACAATTTTAATATCCTGTGGACTGAGGCATCATGATTTGGTAATAAGTATATCACTTCACATTATCCCAACCAAGGAAATCGCCTCTGTCTGAAAGGAACACCTTCAAAGATGCACAACTTAATTGTACTTAAAAAGAAAGGAAACAATATTTCTATTTCAGACCAGAAAAAAGGAAAAAAATCTTTCCTTGGAGGCACATGGAGTCTCCTCTGTCTTGTCACAAGCTGGGTTGACTGGCAGGTCCTCAGTGAAACCTAGAGGGACACAGAGTAGCTGTTAGAACAGCGGTGAGGCTGCTCAGGAATCATGCAGGGGGTTTTCTCTTTGTGTGGACATGGGGTGGTGTGTATGGATGTGGGAGGTTAATAAGCATGGACTGAACTTGTGTTCATCCATCCTCTTTGGAGGAGGAAGGAAAGTAAAGGAGAGGTGGAAGGAAATGAATGCAGATCGTTGGCCTTCTAGCTAGAGGAGCCTAATCAACAGGAAATATTCAACCTAAAACATGGAAAACTCTAAAATGTAAGTACTGTTCAGTGAGAGAGACCATGACTGCTCCTGCTCATTGTGAGCTTCGGGTAAATTGCCACTGTCTCTTGATTTTTCCCAGATCACTCTTCCTCTGAGATCCACAGTTGCTGCTACTCTGTTCATCATGACTTCTATAAGGTTTTGTAATTGATTTAAAGTAAACTCGGTTACAGGACTGAATTCAATCCTGGCAAAGTATACTATGCTATTAATTCACTAATTAATTGTCTTAAAGAAAAGCAAATACACAAGATTTTATATTTCTGAATTCCTAGCACTTAAAAATAGCCATTATGAATAATACAGAATTTATCTATCAATATTCATTTTCTATAAAGTGTGTGAATTTCCACTGATCCAGTAGTTGTCCATATGCACAGGGGCCATCGGTTGAGTGGGACAGTAGATTATAGAAAGCACAGTTCCTCCACAACGTATTCCTCGGGAGTTACAGGGACAGAGTAGCTGTTAGGACACTGGTGAGGCTATTCAACAATCACTCAGCTTTTACTCTTTTTTGAGATGGACAAGGGGTGTAGAGTATGCATGAGGGAGCTAACTAAATATGTAATAAGCTGCTGATGAATCATCCTTTTTGCTAGATGAAGGAGTAAAAATGAGAGGAGCATGAAAGAAATGAAAGAGAACATCGGCATTTTTGGAAAACAAGAAACACTAAAATGCATGCCATCTTTCGATGACAGGACTCAGGAAGCTCCTGTGTGTTTATATCTTCTGCAAAACAACACCTATCCAGAAGGACATCTTCCTACATCACTGCCTCCCCAGGATTCAGTTACAGCTATTGCACTTACTGAGTTTTCTGAGGGACTTTGTTCTTGATGAAAAGCAGTCTCTACTACAGGACAGAATTCAATTCTAACTTGACAAATAGCTATTAAGCTAGAACGACTGAGGTAACAATTCTTGCCAATCTTAATTGTCCAAACAACATTTGCGTGTCCCTGAATGAGTGTCTGCTGATACTCAGAGAAGCCATACATTGAGTGGGACAGTTCACTATGGAGAGAAAGCCTGGGGCAAACGTTGACTTTCTTGGACTCAGGTATGCACGAGGTTTACTAGAGGCAAGACACCAAGCAGACTGTCAAGTTCCACCATGAGATCTATTTGACACCTGCCCTTGAGAGTGTGCTGCAGGGTTGAACTGACCTAAGGCTTATGGTGTTGTCACCCAGTACAATTAAATATCTCCCTGATGGTAATCTGCTTTTGTCCTTGGTTAAGCAATGAAACTAGCACGAACACACTTGGCCTGTCCTGTCTAAACCAGGGCATACAACTCCCAGTTCTGTGAACTGACTAGGAGGATGTCAGTCCCTAGGGGCCTTTGACGATAATTACTGTGCCAAAGTTGGTAATAATCTGCTTATATTTGCCCTGGGTTCCTTGACCACTGAGACCGTCTTGCAATGATGTACACGGTTTGGATCTCTGGAGCTCTAGTACCTCCAGGCAAAAGCACAGATGCAGCCAGCCCTTGCCCCATGACTAGGCTTTCAACGCTGAGTGATAAGTGAAGGTCAGGGGTCCAGAGCAGTCACAGTGGGAACACACCTAGGTTCTCAGTTTGGCTTTTCAACATAGAATTGTCAACAGCTTGGGCCATTGTCCTCAGCACCTTCTTCACTTGAGGAAAATGAATATTAACCAAACATGAGGAATGGCTGAGCTGAGGAAAGAATCAAGTAATGTATAGTCAGTGGGCAGTGGCGATAAGAAGTGTTTAGAAAGTTCACAGGTGACTTGTGCTGTGTAGGAGGAAACATCTCCTGAGGAAACACACACAGACACAGAGCATCAGAATCACACCACTGGGCCCACACATGGGCCCCCATGCCCGATTCACACAAACACACAGCATCTAAATGATTTAGTTGCTTCCAGGTACCATAGAATAAAGACATTATTCTATCCCAGGAGATCAGTCTCTTCCATGCACCTCCAGCCCGCACCCCAAGTAGGGATCCAGCATCAGGGCCACTCTCCAACCAGAGCCAGTCAGAAAACCCCAGCTTTATCAGATGGATTGTACCTCAGCAGAGTGTTGATCCCTGAATATTTACCGTGTTCACTTGCGTCCCAGAATTCCTGTGATTGGAGAGAAGGAAACAGAGTGAGGTGTCAGCATCTTCAACCTCCTGCACTAAGGATTCTGTCATGTGGTTTGTCTCCTCAGATAACTAAAACTCTTTATTCCAGTGACTCCAAAGTACAACAGAGAGTGTCCTGGCGGAAAGTCTGTTTCACAAAAGATCTCTCAATTTCAATGTGTCCAACTATAACACACTGCTTTTCAAGAAAGAGAACTTTCAAAAAAAAAAAAAAGAAAACATTAAAAACAAGAAAGAGAACTTTATGCTGAGCAAAGTACCTACAGTAGTAAATGATGCTGTCTTTTTTTAATGTCCTTGTGAATTAGGTCTGTGTTGATAATAGAATTATCCTCACTCTTTTCCCAGCCAAGGAATTACATGCCTCAGTGGGATTGCAAATTGTCACATGACTATAACTGTATTTGTGTGAATAACAAATAAAGTGAAGCAACAATCTTATCACAGATAAAGAAAGGTGCAGTTACATTCACAGTACTCAGTGCCTTTACCTCAGTCAAGTCGTGGCATGTTGCCTCTTCCAGATCCGCCTGGGGAGCTAGAGGGACAAGGAAGAGACATTGGTGAACAGGAGAAGCTGGTCACTAACCACTCAGGAAGCTTTCTTGGGGGGCGGGGGCATGGGGTGGACTGTATGCTTAAGGCATTAGTAACTTGGGACTGAGTGGCTGTTGAATCATCCTCTTTGTTGCATAAATAAGAGCAAATTGGAGGAGCAGGAAATAGTGAAAGAGAACATCTGCATTTTAACTAGTGATTACCTCACAGATCGGAAAATAAGAAACACTAAAATGCATGCCACCTTTCAATGACAGAGAGTCAGGAACCTTCTGCGTGTTTATATCTTCTGCAAAACAACACCTATCCAGAAGGATTTCTTCCTAGATCACTGCCTCCTCAGGATTCAGTTACAGCTATTGCACTTACTGAGTTTTCAGAGAGATTTTGTTCTTGATGAAAAGCAGTCTCTGCTAGAGGACTGAATTCAATTCTAACTTGCCAAATAGCTATTAAGCTAGAACCACTCAGGTAATGTTTCTTGCCATTCTTAATTGTCCAACCAACATTAGCGCGTCCCTGAATGAGTGTCTGCTGACACTCAGAGAAGCCATACATTGAGTGGGACAGTTCACTATGGAGAGAAAGCCTGGGGCAAACGCTGACTTCCTTGGACTCAGGTATGCACGAAGTTTACTAGAGTCGAGTCACCAAGCAGACTGTCAAGTTCCACCAGGAGATCTACTTGACACCTGCCCTTGAGAGTGTGCTGCAGGGTTGAACCGAACTAAGGCTTATGGTGTTGTCACCCAGTACAATGAAATATCTCCCTGATGGTAATCTGCTTTTGTCCTTGGTTAAGCAATGACACTAGCACGAACAGATTTGGCCTGTCCTGTCTAAACCAGGGCATACAACTCCCAGTTCTGTGAACCGACCAGGAGGGTGTCAGTCCCTAGGAGCCTTTGACGATAATGACTGTGCCAAAGTTGGTGATAATCTGCTTATGTTTGCCCTGGGTTCCTTGACCACTGAGACCGTCTTGCAATGATGTACATGGTCTGGATCTCTGGAGCTCTAGTACCTCCAGGCAAAAGCACAGATGCAGCCAGCCCTTGCCCCATGACCAGGGTTTCAACGCTGAGTGATAAGTGAAGGTCAGGGGTCCAGAGCAGTCACACTGGGAACACCCCTAGGTTCTCAGTTTGGCTTTTCAACATAGAATTGTCAACAGCTTGGGCCATTGTATTCAGCACCTTCTTCAATTGAGGAAAATGAATATTAACCAAACATGAGGAATGGCTGAGCTGAGGAATGAATCAAGTAATGTATAGTCAGTGTGCAGTGGTCATAAGAAGTGTTCAGAAAGTTCACAGGTGACTTGTGCTGTGTAAGAGGGAAACATCTCCTGAGGAAACACACACAGACACAGAGCATCAGAATCACACCACTGGGCCCACACATGGGCCCCCAATCCCGATTCACACAATCCCACAGCATCTAAATGATGTAGTTGCTTCCAGGTACCATAGAATAAAGATATTATTCTATCCTGGGAGATCAGTCTCTTCCATGCACCTCCAGCCCGCACCCCAAGTAGGGATCCAGCATCAGGGCCACTCTCCAACCAGAGCCAGTCAGAAAACCCCAGCTTTATCAAATGGATTGTACCTCAGCAGAGTGTTGATCCCTGAATATTTACCGTGTTCACTCGCGTCCCCGAATTCCTGTGACTGGAGAGAAGGAAACAGAGTGAGGTGTCAGCATCTTCAATCTCTTGCACTAAGTATTCTGTCATGTGGTTTGTCTCCTCAGATAACTAAAACTCTTTATTCCAGTGACTCCAAAGTACAACAGAGAGTGTCCTGGCGGAAAGTCTGTTTCACAAAAGATCTCTCAATTTCAATGTGTCCAACAATAACACATTGCTTTTCAAGAAATTGAACTTTGAAAGAAAAACAGAAAACATTAAAAACAAGAAAGAGAACTTTATGCTGACCAAAGTACCTACAGTAGTAAATGATGCTTTTTTTAATGTCCTTGTGAAATAGGTCTGTGTTGATAATAGATTTATCCTCACTCTTTTCCCAGCCAAGGAATTACATGCCTCAGTGGGAATGTAAATTATCAGATGACTATAACTGTATTTGTCTGAATAACAAATAAAGTGAAGCAACAATCTTATCACAGATAAAGAAAGGTGCAGTTACATTCACAGTACTCAGAGCCTTTACCTCAGTCAAGTCGTGGAATGTTGCCTCTTCCAGATTCTCCCAGGGAGCTAGAGGGACAAGGAAGAGACATTGGCGCACAGGAGAAGCTGCTCATCAATCACTCAGGAAACTTTTTTGGGGGGCGGGGGCATGGGCTGGACTGTATGGTAAAGGAATTAGTAACTGGGGACTGAGAGCCTGTTGAATCATCCTCTTTGTTGCATAAATAAGAGCACATCGGTGGAGCAGGAGATAGTGAAAGAGAACCTCTGCATTTTAACTAGTTATAACCTAACAGATCGGAAAAAAATTAAAAGGAAAATGCATGCCACCTTTCAATGACAGAGACTCAGGAACCTCCTGCGTGTTTACATCTTCTGCAAAACAACACCTATCCAGAAGGATTTCTTCCTAGATCACTGCCTCCCCAGGATTCAGTTACAGCTATTGCACTTACTGAGTTTCCTGAGAGACTTTGTTCTTGATGAAAAGCAGTCTCTGCTAGAGGAGAGAATTCAATTCTAACTTGCCAAATAGCTATTAAGCTAGGACCACTCAGGTAACGTTTCTTGCCAGTCTTAATTGTCCAACCAATATTTGCGCGTCCCTGAATGAGTGTCTGCTGACACTCAGAGAAGCCATACATTGAGTGGGACAGTTCACTATGGAGAAGAAGCATGGGGTAAACGTTGAATTTCCTGGACTCAGGTATGTACGAGGTTTACTAGAGTCGAGTCAACAAGCAGACTGTCAAGTTCAACCATGAGATCTATTTGACACCTTCCCTTGAGAGTGTGCTGCAGGGTTGAACCGACCTAAGGCTTATGGTGTTGTAACCCAGTATAATGAAATACCTCCCTGATGGTAATCTGCTTTTGTCCTTGGTTAAGCAGTGACACTAGCACGAACAGATTAGGCCTGTCCTGTCTAAACCAGGGCATACAACTCCCAGTTCTGTGAACTGACCAGGAGGTTGTCAGTCCCTAGGTGCTTTGACAATAATGACTGTGCCGAAGTTGGTGATAATCTCCTTATGTTTGCCCTGGGTTCCTTGACCACTGAGACCATCTTGCAATGATGTACACGGTCTGGATCTCTGGAGCTCTAGAACCTCCAGGCAAAAGCACAGATGCAGGGAGCCCTTGCCCCATCTCTAGGATTTCAACGCTGAGTGATAAGTGAAGGTCAGGGGTCCAGAGCAGTCACACTAGGAACACGCCTAGGTTCTCAGTTTGGCTTTTCAACATAGAATTGTCAACAGCTTGGGCCATTGTCCTCAGCACCTTCTTCACTTGAGGAAAATGAATATTAACCAAACATGAGGAATGGCTGAGTTGAGGAAAGAATCAAGTAATGTATAGTCAGTGGGCAGTGGTGATAAGAAGTGTTTAGAAAGTTCACAGGTGACTTGTGCTTTGTAGGAGGAAAACATCTCCTGAGGAAACACACACAGACACAGAGCATCAGAATCACACCACTGGGCCCACACATGGGCCCCCAAGCCCGATTCACACAAACCCACAGCATCTAAATGATGTAGTTGCTTCCAGGTACCATAGAATAAAGACATTATTCTATCCTGGGAGATCAGTCTCTTCCATGCACCTCCAGCCCGCACCCCAAGTAGGGATCCAGCATCAGGGCCACTCTCCAACCAGAGCCAGTCAGAAAACCCCAGCTTTATCAGATGGATTGTACCTCAGCAGAGTGTTGATCCCTGAATATTTACCATGTTCACTTGCATCCCAGAATTCCTGTGATTGGAGAGAAGGAAACAGAGTGAAGTGTCACCACCTTCAACCTCCTGCACTAAGTATTCTGTCATGTGGTTTGTCTCCTCAGATAACTAAAACTCTTTATTCCACTGACTCCAAAGTACAACAGAGAGTGTCCTGGCGGAAAGTCTGTTTCACAAAAGATCTCTCAATTTCAATGTGTCCAACAATAACACATTGCTTTTCAAGAAAGAGAATTTTGAAAGAAAAACAGAAAACATTCAAAAAAAGAAAGAGAACTTTATGCTGACCAAAGTACCTACAGTAGTAAATGATGCTGTCTTTTTTTAATGTCCTTGTGAAATAGGTCTGTGTTGATAATAGATTTCTCCTCACTCTTTTCCCAGCCAAGGAATTACATGCCTCAGTGGGAATGCAAATTGTCAGATGACTATAACTGTATTTGTCTGAATAACAAATAAAGTGAAGCAACAATCTTATCACAGATAAAGAAAGGTGCAGGTACACTCACAGAACTCAGAGCCTTTACCTCGGTCAAGTCGTGGCATATTTCCTCTTCCAGATCCGCCTGGGGAGCTAGAGGGACAAGGAAGAGGCATTGGTGAACAGGAGAAGCTGGTCACTAACCACTCAGGAAGCTTTCTTGGGGGGCGGGGGCATGGGGTAGACTGTATGCTTAAGGCGTTAGTAACTTGGGACTGAGTGGCTGTTGAATCATCCTCTTTGTTGCATAAATAAGAGCAAATTGGAGGAGCAGGAAATAGTGAAAGAGAACCTCTGCATTTTAACTAGTGATTACCTCACAGATCGGAAAATAAGAAACACTAAAATGCATGCAACCTTTCAATGAAAGAGACTCATGAACCTCCTGCATGTTTACATCTTCTGCAAAACAACACTTATCCAGAGGATTTCTTCCTAGATCACTGCCTCCCCAGGATTCAGTTACAGCCATTGCACTTACTGAGTTTTCGGAGAGATTTTGTTCTTGATGAAAAGCAGTCTCTGCTAGAGGACTGAATTCAATTCTAACTTGCCAGAGAGCTATTAGGCTAGAATCAATCAGGTAATGTTTCTTGCCAGTCTTAGTTGTCCAACCAACATTTGCGCGTTCCTGAATGAGTCTCTCCTGACACTCAGAGAAGCCATACATTGAGTGGGACAGTTCACGATGGAGAGAAAGCCTGGGGCAAACGTTGACTTTCTTGGACTCAGGTATGCACGAGGTTTACTAGAGTTAAGTCACCAAACAGACTGTCAAGCTCCACCATGAGATCTATTTGACACCTGCCCTTGAGAGTGTGCTGTAGGCTTGAACTGACCTAAGGCTTATGGTGTTGTCACCCAGTACAATGAAATATCTCCCTGATGGTAATCTGCTTTTCTCCTTGGTTAAGCAATGACACTAGCACGAACAGATTTGGCCTGTCCTGTCTAAACCAGGGCATACAACTCCCAGTTCTGTGAACTGACCAGGAGGATGTCAGTCCCTAGGTGCCTTTGACGATAATGACTGTGCCAAAGTTGGTGATAATCTGCTTATGTTTGCCCTGGGTTCCTTGACCACTGAGACCGTCTTGCGATGATGTACACGGTCTGGATCTCTGGAGCTCTAGTACCTCCAGGCAAAAGCACAGATGCAGCCAGCCCTTGCCCCATGACCAGGATTTCAACGCTGAGTGATAAGTGAAGGTCAGGGGTCCAGAGCAGTCACACTGGGAACACCCCTAGGTTCTCAGTTTGGCTTTTCAACATAGAATTGTCAACAGCTTGGGCCATTGTATTCAGCACCTTCTTCAATTGAGGAAAATGAATATTAACCAAACATGAGGAATGGCTGAGCTGAGGAAAGAATCAAGTAATGTATAGTCAGTGTGCAGTGGTGATAAGAAGTGTTTAGAAAGTTCACAGGTGACTTGTGCTGTGTAAGAGGGAAACATCTCCTGAGGAAACACACACAGACACAGAGCATCAGAATCACACCACTCGGCCCACACATGGGCCCCCAAGCCCGATTCACACAAACCCACAGCATCTAAATGATGTAGCTGCTTCCAGGTACCATAGAATAAAGACATTATTCTATCCTGGGAGATCAGTCTCTTCCATGCACCTCCAGCCCGCACCCCAAGTAGGGATCCAGAATCAGCACCACTCTCCAACCAGATCCAGTCAGAAATCCCCAGCTTTATCCGATGGATTGTACCTCAGCAGAGTGTTGATCCCTGAATATTTACCATGTTTACTCGCATCCCCGAATTCCTGTGACTGGAGAGAAGGAAACAGAGTGAGGTTTCAGCATCTTCCACCTCCTGCACTAAGTATTCTGTCATGTGGTTTGTCTCCTCAGATAACTAAAACTCTTTTTTCCAATGACTTCAAAGTAAAACAGAGAGTGTACTGGCGGAAAGTCTGTTTCACAAAAGATCTCTCAATTTCAAAATGTCCAACAATAACAAATTGCTTTTCAAGAAATTGAACTTTGAAAGAAAAACAGAAAACATTTAAAAAAAGAAAGAGAACTTTATGCTGACCAAAGTACCTACAGTAGTAAATGATGCTGTCTTTTTTTAATGTCCTTGTGAAATAGGTCTGTGTTGATAATAGATTTATCCTCACACTTTTCCCAGCCAAGGAATTACATGCCTCAGTGGGAATGTAAATTGTCAGATGACTATAACTGTATTTGTCTGAATAAGAAATAAAGTGAAGCAACAATCTTATCACAGATAAAGAAAGGTGCAGGTACACTCACAGTACTCAGAGCCTTTACCTCGGTCAAGTCGTGGCATGTTTCCTCTTCCAGATCCGCCTGGGGAGCTAGAGGGACAAGGAAGAGATATTGGTGAACAGGAGAAGCTGGTCACTAACCACTCAGGAAGCTTTCTTGGGGGGCGGGGGCATGGGGTGGACTGTATGCTTAAGGCATTAGTAACTTGGGATTGAGTGGCTGTTGAATCATCCTCTCTGTTGCATAAATAAGAGCAAATTGGAGGAGCAGGAAATAATGTAAGAGAACCTCTCCATTTTAACTAGTGATAACCTCAGAGATCAGAAAATAAACACTAAAATGCATGCCACCTTTCAATGACAGAGACTCATGAACCTCCTGCATGTTTACATCTTCTGCAAAACAACACCTATCCAGAAGGATTTCTTCCTAGATCACTGCCTCCCCAGGATTCAGTTACAGCCATTGCACTTACTGAGTTTTCAGAGAGATTTTGTTCTTGATGAAAAGCAGTCTCTGCTAGAGGACTGAATTCAATTCTAACTTGCCAAAGAGATATTAGGCTAGAATCACTCAGGTAATGTTTCTTGCCAGTCTTAATTGTCCAACCAACATTTGTGCGTCCCTGAATGAGTGTCTGCTGACACTCAGAGAAGCCATAAATTGAGTGGGACAGTTCACTATGGAGAGGACGCCTGGGGCAAACGCTGACTTTCTTGGACTCAGGTATGCAGGAGGTTTACTAGAGTCGAGTCACCAAGCAGACTGTCAAGTTCCACCATGAGATCTATTTGACACCTGCCCTTGAGAGTGTGCTGTAGGCTTGAACCGACCTAAGGCTTATGGTGTTGTCACCCAGTACAATGAAATATCTCCCTGATGGTAATCTGCTTTTCTCCTTGGTTAAGCAATGACACTAGCAGGAACAGATTTGGCCTGTCCTGTCTAAACCAGGGCATACAACTCCCAGTTCTGTGAACTGACCAGGAGGATGTCAGTCCCTAGGTGCCTTTGACGATAATGACTGTGCCAAAGTTGGTGATAATCTGCTTATATTTGCCCTGGGTTCCTTGACCACTGAGACCGTCTTGCGATGATGTACACCGTCTGGATCTCTGGAGCTCTAGTACCTCCAGGCAAAAGCACAGATGCAGCCAGCCCTTGCCCCATGACCAGGATTTCAACGCTGAGTGATAAGTGAAGGTCAGGGGTCCAGAGCAGTCACACTGGGAACACCCCTAGGTTCTCAGTTTGGCTTTTCAACATAGAATTGTCAACAGCTTGGGCCATTGTATTCAGCACCTTCTTCAATTGAGGAAAATGAATATTAACCAAACATGAGGAATGGCTGAGCTGAGGAATGAATCAAGTAATGTATAGTCAGTGTACAGTGGTGATAAGAAGTGTTTAGAAAGTTCACAGGTGACTTGTGCTGTGTAAGAGGGAAACATCTCCTGAGGAAACACACACAGACACAGAGCATCAGAATCACACCACTGGGCCCACACATGGGCCCCCAAGCCCGATTCACACAAACCCACAGCATCTAAATGATGTAGTTGCTTCCAGGTACCATAGAATAAAGACATTATTCTATCCTGGGAGATCAGTCTCTTCCATGCACCTCCAGCCCGCACCCCAAGTAGGGATCCAGCATCAGGGCCACTCTCCAACCAGAGCCAGTCAGAAAACCCCAGCTTTATCAGATGGATTGTACCTCAGCAGAGTGTTGATCCCTGAATATTTACCGTGTTCACTCGCGTCCCCGAATTCCTGTGACTGGAGAGAAGGAAACAGAGTGAGGTGTCAGCATCTTCAACCTCCTGCACTAAGTATTCTGTCATGTGGTTTGTCTCCTCAGATAACTAAAACTCTTTATTCCAGTGACTCCAAAGTACAACAGAGAGTGTCCTGGCGGAAAGTCTGTTTCACAAAAGATCTCTCCATTTCAATGTGTCCAACAATAACACATTGCTTTTCAAGAAAGAGAACTTTGAAAGAAAAACAGAAAACATTTAAAAAAAGAAAGAGAACTTTATGCTGAGCAAAGTACCTACAGTAGTAAATGATGCTGTCTTTTTTTAATGTCCTTGTGAAATAGGTCTGTGTTGATAATAGATTTATCCGCACTCTTTTCCCAGCCAAGGAATTACAGGCCTCAGTGGGAATGTAAATTGTCAGATGACTATCACTGTATTTGTCTGAATAACAAATAAAGTGAAGCAACAATCTTATCACAGATAAAGAAAGGTGCAGGTACACTCACAGTACTCAGAGCCTTTACCTCGGTCAAGTCGTGGCATGTTTCCTCTTCCAGATCCGCCTGGGGAGCTAGAGGGACAAGGAAGAGACATTGGTGAACAGGAGAAGCTGGTCACTAACCACTCAGGAAGCTTTCTTGGGGGGCGGGGGCATGGGGTGGACTGTATGCTTAAGGCGTTAGTAACTTGGGACTGAGTGGCTGTTGAATCATCCTCTTTGTTGCATAAATAAGAGCAAATTGGAGGAGCAGGAAATAGTGAATGAGAACCTCTGCATTTTAACTAGTGATTACCTCACAGATCGGAAAATAGGAAACACTAAAATGCATGCCACCTTTCAATGACAGAGACTCATGAACCTCCTGCATGCTTACGTCTTCTGCAAAACAACACCTATCCAGAAGGATTTCTTCCTAGATCACTGCCTCCCCAGGATTCAGTTACAGCCATTGCACTTACTGAGTTTTCGGAGAGATTTTGTTCTTGATGAAAAGCAGTCTCTGCTACAGGACTGAATTCAATTCTAACTTGCCAGAGAGCTATTAGGCTAGAATCACTCAGGTAATGTTTCTTGCCAGTCTTACTTGTCCAACCAACATTTGCGCGTCCCTGAATGAGTGTCTGCTGACACTCAGAGAACCCATACATTGAGTGGGACAGTTCACGATGGAGAGAAAGCCTGGGGCAAACGTTGACTTTCTTGGACTCAGGTATGTACGAGGTTTACTAGAGTTAAGTCACCAAACAGACTGTCAAGCTCCACCATGAGATCTATTTGACACCTGCCCTTGAGAGTGTGCTGTAGGCTTGAACTGACCTAAGGCTTATGGTGTTGTCACCCAGTACAATGAAATATCTCCCTGATGGTAATCTGCTTTTCTCCTTGGTTAAGCAATGACACTAGCACGAACAGATTTGGCCTGTCCTGTCTAAACCAGGGCATACAACTCCCAGTTCTGTGAACTGACCAGGAGGATGTCAGTCCCTAGGTGCCTTTGACGATAATGACTGTGCCAAGGTTGGTGATAATCTGCTTATGTTTGCCCTGGGTTCCTTGACCACTGAGACCGTCTTGCGATGATGTACACCGTCTGGATCTCTGGAGCTCTAGTACCTCCAGGCAAAAGCACAGATGCAGCCAGCCCTTGCCCCATGACCAGGATTTCAACGCTGAGTGATAAGTGAAGGTCAGGGGTCCAGAGCAGTCACACTGGGAACACGCCTAGGTTCTCAGTTTGGCTTTTCAACATAGAATTGTCAACAGCTTGGGCCATTGTCCTCAGCACCTTCTTCACTTGAGGAAAATGAATATTAACCAAACATGAGGAATGGCTGAGCTGAGGAAAGAATCAAGTAATGTATAGTCAGTGTGCAGTGGTGATAAGAAGTGTTTAGAAAGTTCACAGGTGACTTGTGCTGTGTAAGAGGGAAACATCTCCTGAGGAAACACACACAGACACAGAGCATCAGAATCACACCACTCGGCCCACACATGGGCCCCCAAGCCCGATTCACACAAACCAACAGCATCTAAATGATGCAGCTGCTTCCACGTACCATAGAATAAAGATATTATTCTATCCTGGGAGATCAGTCTCTTCCATGCACCTCCAGCCCGCACCCCAAGTAGGGATCCAGCCTCAGCGCCACTCTCCAACCAGAGCCAGTCAGAAAACCCCAGCTTTATCCGATGGATTGTACCTCAGCAGAGTGTTGATCCCTGAATATTTACCATGTTCACTGGCGTCCCCGAATTCCTGTGACTGGAGAGAAGGAAACAGAGTGAGGTGTCAGCATCTTCAACCTCCTGCACTAAGTATTCTGTCATGTGGTTTGTCTCCTCAGATAACTAAAACTCTTTTTTCCAGTGACTCCAAAGTAAAACAGAGAGTGTACTGGCGGAAAGTCTGTTTCACAAAAGATCTCTCAATTTCAATGTGTCCAACAATAACAAATTGCTTTTCAAGAAATTGAACTTTGAAAGAAAAACAGAAAACATTAAAAACAAGAAAGAGAACTTTATGCTGACCAAAGTACCTACAGTAGCAAATGATGCTTTTTTTAATGTCCTTGTGAAATAGGTCTGTGTTGATAATAGATTTATCCGCACTCTTTTCCCAGCCAAGGAATTACAGGCCTCAGTGGGAATGTAAATTGTCAGATGACTATAACTTTATTTGTCTGAATAATTAATAAAGTGAAGCAACAATCTTATCACAGATAAAGAAAGGTGCAGGTACACTTACAGTACTCAGAGCCTTTACCTCGGTCAAGTCGTGGCATATTTCCTCTTCCAGATCCGCCTGGGGAGCTAGAGGGACAAGGAAGAGACATTGGTGAACAGGAGAAGCTGGTCACTAACCACTCAGGAAGCTTTCTTGGGGGGCGGGGGCATGGGGTGGACTGTATGCTTAAGGCATTAGTAACTTGGGACTGAGTGGCTGTTGAATCATCCTCTTTGTTGCATAAATAAGAGCAAATTGGAGGAGCAGGAAATAGTGAAAGAGAACCTCTGCATTTTAACTAGTGATTACCTCACAGATCGGAAAATAGGAAACACTAAAATTCATGCCACCTTTCAATGACAGAGACTCATGAACCTCCTGCATGCTTACGTCTTCTGCAAAACAACACCTATCCAGAAGGATTTCTTCCTAGATCACTGCCTCCCCAGGATTCAGTTACAGCCATTGCACTTACTGAGTTTTCGGAGAGATTTTGTTCTTGATGAAAAGCAGTCTCTGCTAGAGGACTGAATTCAATTCTAACTTGCCAAAGAGATATTAGGCTAGAATCACTCAGGTAATGTTTCTTGCCAGTCTTAATTGTCCAACCAACATTTGCACGTCCCTGAATGAGTGTCTGCTGACACTCAGAGAAGCCATACATTGAGTGGGACAGTTCACTATGGAGAGGACGCCTGGGGCAAACGCTGACTTTCTTGGACTCAGGTATGCAGGAGGTTTACTAGAGTCGAGTCACCAAGCAGACTGTCAAGTTCCACCATGAGATCTATTTGACACCTGCCCTTGAGTGTGTGCTGTAGGCTTGAACCGACCTAAGGCTTATGGTGTTGTCACCCAGTACAATTAAATACCTCCCTTATAGTAATCTGCTTTTGTCCTTGGTTAAGCAATGACACTAGCACGAACAGATTTGGCCTGTCCTGTCTAAACCAGGGCATACAACTCCCAGTTCTGTGAACTGACCAGGAGGGTGTCAGTCCCTAGGTGCCTTTGACGATAATGACTGTGCCAAAGTTGGTGATAATCTGCTTATATTTGCCCTGGGTTCCTTGACCACTGAGAGCTTCTTGCAATGATGTACACGGTCTGGATCTCTGGAGATCTAGTACCTCCAGGCATAAGCACAGATGCAGCGAGCCCTTGCTCCATGACCAGGATTTCAACGCTGAGTGATAAGTGAAGGTCCGGGGTCCAGAGCAGTCACACTGGGAACAACCCTAGGTTCTCAGTTTGGCTTTTCAACATAGAATTGTCAACAGCTTGGGCCATTGTCCTCAGCACCTTCTTCACTTGAGGAAAATGAATATTAACCAAACATGAGGAATCGCTGAGCTGAGGAAAGAATCAAGTAATGTATAGTCAGTGTGCAGTGGTGATAAGAAGTGTTTAGAACGTTCACAGGTGACTTGTGTTGTGTAAGAGGGAAACATCTCCTGAGGAAACACACACAGACACAGAGCATCGGAATCACACCACTGGGCCCACACATGGGCCCCCAAGCCCAATTCACACAAACCCACAGCATCTAAATGATGTAGTTGCTTCCAGGTACCATAGAATAAAGACATTATTCTATCCTGGGAGATCAGTCTCTTCCATGCACCTCCAGCCCGCACCCCAAGTGGGGATCCAGCATCAGGGCCACTCTCCAACCAGAGCCAGTCAGAAAACCCCAGCTTTATCCGATGGATTGTTCCTCAGCAGAGTGTTGATCCCTGAATATTTACCGTGTTTAATGGCGTCCCAGAATTGCTGTGAGTGGAGAGAAGGAAACAGAGTGAGGTGTTAGCATCTTGAAGCTCCTGCACTATGTTTTCTGTCATGTCGTTTGTCTCCTCAGATAAATAAAAATATAAATATTTATTTATAAATAAATAAAATAAAACTCTTTATTCTAGTGACTCCAAAGTACAATAGAGAGTGTTCTGACGGAAAGTTGGTTTCAGAAAAGAGCTCTCAATTTGAATGTGACCAAGAGTTACAAAAGTATTTTTCAAGGAGGAAAATTTCTACTGAAAGAAATACGTACAGTAGTAACTGATGCTGTCCTTTTTTAATGCCCTTCTGAATCGCATCTGTTTTTAGAAAACATTTTTCTCAATATTTCTCCAGCCAAGGAACTGTATACATTAGTGATAATGTACATTGTCAAATTACTATAACTGCATTCCATTGAATAAAAATTTAAGAAGTGAAGAAGCAGGCTTCTCTGAGATAAAGACAGTTGTGGTTACCTTCGGGATCCTCGGAGACTCTTCCTCATCCCAGGCCC